GAATCATAGTCAGCCATGTGTATTAAGATTTTGATCTATCAAGGTGACAAAATATCTATAATGCTCCCTAGAGATGCATGGTGCATTCCATACATCAGAATGTATAACATCAAAGCAATGTTCATAGATAGTGGATGACTTAGGGAATACAGTTTTGCAGGGTTTGCCTAGAATGCATGCTTCAGAGCCATCATTTTTTTTAAAAACACACATTTTGTAATAGGAGGTTCAGTGCACAAGAATGGGGATGTCCTAGCCTAGCATGCCAAAAAACATCATTATCTAAGGCATGAATTGAACTAAAAGCAGATAAATTTGAATCGGTTTTGATGTTTTCAAGTAGGTACAAGTCCTCCTTTGTAACACCTCTGCTAATCAACTTAAGAGTCTCAATATCCTGAAAAACAACCTCATGAGGACTAAAGATCACATTGCAATTTAAGTCAGTGGTAGTCTTCTTAACAGATAACAAATTGGAAGCAAAGGTTGGCATATGAAAGGTTTTGGTATCTCTATCAAACAGTTTAATAATTCCTTCACCTTTAATTGGTATTCTATCACCATTTGAAATCTTAACATTACCTCCTATAGGTTTAATATTACTGATCAACTGAACATCACTAATCATGTGATGAGAAGCGCCTTAGTCTATGATCAAAAATAAAGCTTAACTTGAAAATCATCCATAAAAAATAAAGCTAAACCTCCGCTGAGACCAAGTGGCTCAACGGTAAACAAATGATCAAAACCCAAGTCGGCCTGAATGTCTTGCAACAGCAGCCTCCTATTCTTCGTCTCAGAAAGAAACACTAGTCCTGGGCGATGCTTCTGACACATCTCCGTAAGGCGTCGAACTGTAAGGTCGTTTCCAATCCCTCGACAGTTCCAACTGATTGTCTTCATGGATGATTGTGGGATGGGTTTTTGGACCCCATCGAACCACTTGCTTTGTTTGTCTTAGATCGATCCGTTCTAGCATTATGGCTGGACTGTTGTTGTTTGCCTCTCTCCCCTGCGTGCTTCTGAGAATTCAGAGACCTCAAACGTGGAGATCCCCGACGGAGAACCTCTTTCCTCTTGGGAGTACGCCTGTTACCACTCCTCATCCCTTTGAAACTCCTTTCGCCTCTAGAAATGTCTTTTTCCCGCAGAATGTCTCCTGGCACATTGGCATCCAGCTCCAAAAGCTCCTCATCAAAAAGATCATTTTCTTCCACTGCCATTATTTCTTCTTCAATACCAGGTAAGGGTTCCATGTTAGTCAAAGCCTCAATCATTCCAGCATCATCTCCATGCTTCTCATTTATATATGACAAAGAGTGGATCACACTTCTTGGGCGGATCGTTACATTTTCCTGCATATTTGGAGAAGTAATGGTACTAGCTAGTCTTCTTGTCCGTGGTAACACAGGCTGCTGTATGGGATCAGCTTCCAGCATGTACTCATCATCCATTTCTTTCTCAGCAATACAATGAGCACGGGGGTTTGACCTTACTCCATCACCCATCTCCTTCTCTTGGTCATAAGGACCATAGCATGGAGAGTGATTGCTTCTGACCTCATTTGTACCTGATCCTTCCGGAGAAAACTTATCCCTAGAACGGGGTATAGCAGCCTTTGGTGTACGAGAGCTCGACCCTGCCCGTGATGGTCGTGAATCCCCTGACCCAGCAGCTGCAGTTAGGTCGTGAGAATCATGGTGTCGTGGCCCCCTATTACCTTGTGCCAAACGAATGTTCTTTCCCCTCTCCGTCGCACGCCATTCCGGTTCATCGTTCCTCTTGTAAGTCACTTGAAGCTGACGTCCTCCATCGCTATAACCCACTGCTTCATCATAGTCACTACGTGCCCTCTTCTCGACAGTATTTTTAGATTTCCATTGATTATCCTTCTGACGAGCATAAGGTCGAGTTAGTTTGTTTGTCTGCCGCTCATCACGCCTCCGCATAACTCGGTTCTGCTCAGAATTATGGCGTTGAGATGTTCCAGCCACCTTGTGATGATAATCTCGACGAGAATGACGATCATCAGCCGTGGGAGGAAGCGTCAAAGCTTTAGGAGGATGGTGTTGTTCACGGTTATTCTCCTGCGTTCGATACCTTGAGGGATCATCCGCTTTGCGAGCAAAAGATGCACCACGGCGTGCATTATGCTGAGTGGTTTCCGAAGTGTTATACCGAGCGTACGGCTCAGCTACCATAGGATCAGTAAGCAAAGGCTTGTGATCCCCATCCTCTTTTGGCAAACGAAGACGAGCAAGCACACCAGTCCTTGGACTATTAAAAGACTTCGTCGGACAGTATTCCTTTTCATGAGTTAAGAAACCACAAGTGACACAATGCTTAAACAAGAGATCATATGTGATCTTTATGGTTACAGCATCCCCTTCTGAATTCGTTGTCATCCTTGTAAACTTTAGGGGTTTCCGTGTGTCTATGTCAATCAGCATTCTTCCTTCCTCAAGCTCTAGAGTATCGACTCGACCCAAAGAATTCCCAAGTCCTTCCAGATTCTTAAGAGTCCATAAGTGCAACGGCACTCCAGTGATAGTGACCCAAAAGGGGATGATCCATGGATACTCATCATGCACGATTGGTTCCCATCGCACTAACACAAACATACAGAAGTTAAAATGGAAAGGGCCTTGACGTAAAACCTCCTTTAGATCCTCCTCAGTGGTGAAGTTTAGCAAGAACTTTCCGTTGCCCAAGTCGTTTGCTGTGATGCGATCTTCCATTCCCCATTGCCTCGGCATATAATTAATTAGCTTCTCAACATTTTGTTTTTTTGGGTTCAGAATTTTCCCTATAAGAGAAAGCTTAAATTCCTGGATGATGTAGGGATCTTCCTCGTCAATAAGCTTAAAGGGCGCTTCCTCCTCCTCCCACATGATCTCCTTACCTTTGTTCATATTCGATGAAACAGAGTCATAAGGACCCATTACGAAGGCGTAAAAGAGATGAGTTTTATATAAAACCGTTCCCGACAGAGACAAAGGCTTCTTTGATTATGATTCCCAGAGAAAGACAAGAGTCGTTGAAAATGGAGATGCGTGTAAAGCCTGTTTCGAGTAAATATTGTTAACATGGCCAGAATAACATGTTTATATGCCTTCCACTACGGATCGGCATTGTTTATATTGATATGAAATTATCTGGATTTATGTTTAAATTCAAAAACTTAAATGGCACTTAATTATTAATAAATATTTAAAAATGTTTGAAATTTCCACAAACTGAAATCAGAATTTTCATGGAAAACAAAATTCATATATTTTTATTATCTTTATAATATATCATATATTGCTTCGTAAAATCACACTTATGCCATTTTTACAAAACAAACTGAAATGGAAAATTGAACAAACCATATAATATTTTGCCGCAGTCTTGTTATAAATTACATGTGTGCAATTCTATAGCAGAAAGGAGAATGAGACAAGAAATGAGGTGGCGGCAATCTCAACAACACCTTCAAATTTATGAACGCCTTCGAGACGCTACCAAGTTTACGCAAAATCAACTAAGGTTCATGCGATAATTAATCCCTTATATATTATTTAATGATCTTTTTAAAAAGATATTACCTCAACTTTTTGGTAATAATTACAATTTTAGTTTATTGAATTTTCAGTATCTATCATTATTTTATTGTTTATGTGATAACCCAACAATGACTTTATGCAAACTTTAGACCAATAATTTATTCTATAGGCAAAATTTGACTGAACATATTTGAAAATGTGCTAATCAACTTATGGTATTTGAAGTAATTTATTCGAATTCATCAAATCGTTAATTTATATATACATTATTTTTTCTGATTTCTATATAATGGTGATCTTTGTTTTGAATTTCATGTAGGCTAAGCGATAATAAAGAAAAAACAATCTCATTTCTGAAACCATGTAATAAAACTGTGGAGGTATCTTGCAAGTCTCTGTTTCAATCATGTGAATGATCTTTCTTATTAAATTATAATCGTGAAGGATTATTAATATGTAAATTCGATGAAGATCTAAATAGTGTTTGTATATCGCATCTGCCATCTCATACAGAAGATCATAACCCTACACGCATTGCTAAATTGTTATATTCATCAAATTTTTATCCATAATAATGCTATCTAACGATTTTCCATATTTTATTATTAAGTACCTTTTTCCAAAAAAGGTACCTTTTTCTAAGTTTTTGGTGATCTATGTTGACAATCGAAATTTGCGAATGAATTTGATTTTTGTTTAATTATTAGAACATGGTGGTTTATAATTCTTATCATCTATGTGATTGTATATTGGTAGGTCGGACATGCTGACGATGGTGTGGTTGCTGCTGGCGATGCTGCAAATACTCGTTTAAACTCGACAGGAGTTTTGAAGGGTGAAGAGAAATTGTCCCTTGGACTCACTCTTGGTCTCAAATACTAAGAGGATACTTCGGTTTCTATACTTTTTAAGTTTCCTATATTTATGTAATTCTTGTTCCATAAATTTAACAATATGCGTTCCAAAAAAAAAAAAGAATAATATAATATAAAATGTTGCTATGTGTTTTTCATCCATTATTTGGGTGAAATCTAACAAATCAGAGAACCCAATATCATGCGAGCTTTCACATCAATGGGTGCTTTCACATTTTATAAGAATTATAACATGTACATCTACTTTCTTTCTTTTTTGGACAACAGTACATCTACTTTCTAGGGTGTTGTACTTCTGTTATATCCTCACATACTTGCGTCAGAGACTCATCAGAACCTATATATTTGTGACAAAAAAAAAGAGTATTAAATCCTTTTTAATGTTTGCTACGCAAGGAAGAGATTGTCTGCGAGGGTTATGGAGATGATAAAGTTCTAAGATAATAAAGCACTAAGATAAAATGTGTACAGGAAATCACAAAGGAAAACTGAAATGTTTTCTAACCATAACAAAGAGTTACTTGGTAAATATTACATATAATTTCTAGAAGACAAAAACGTTTTTTACAAATAGCCAACATTTTGCGCAAATGACTATCATAGATAGAACTCTCTGGATACTTATGGCACAATCAAAGTATCCAAGATTTAACAAAGTATACACTTCACATTCACGTAATGAATCCTACTTTTGCAGCTAACAAGTAAATGTCAGGTGTTTTTAGAAATTACCGATTCATGATCTTAGGGACTTGAGACTCTTCTTTGTCTGCCTTATTTTTTGCACTCGTCATGGTAACCCATTATAAAGCTTGCAAGAGCATTTTTATCAAGTGATCGTGAATAAAATCATAAACCATTGAGTACAATAATTCCTAAATATAAATTTATAGCTTTGTGTGAAAATGTTTTCAGAAACTGGAGAGTGGTTGAAAGATATGGAGGAACAAGCTACTCTTGAAACAGCCATCGACCAATGTAATTTTGTCAGATTATATTTTATCTGAGTCTTAAAGAAGAACATATCGCTCGACGGAGCTCATTCAAATTGAAGAGCATCTAAGGCTGTTGACGAGAACGGAGGAGGAGGATGTAGTATTGTGGAGAGGCAAAAATGATGTCTGCAAGACTAAGTTCACAACTCGAGACACATGGAACCACATCAGAACCCTTGAGAAAAGGTTACTTGGCACAAAGGTCTCTAGTTCAGTCAAGCAACACCGAAATTTCGATTTTGTGCGTGGCTTGCATGCTATGAATAATCGTTTGGCAACATGAGATAGAATGGCTATGTGGAACACTGGAAGTGATGGAATATGTGCACTCTGTCACCACCATCTGGAAACGCGAAACCATCTCTATTTTACGTGTTCTTACTCTTCCATATTGTGGAAGAAACTGACGCAAAACCTTATGGAAAACTTTTATTCTACTGGATGGGAGGACATTGTACACCAGCTAACGCAAGGAAGGACCTTGCCAGTTCACAGATTCCTCCTTTGCTATGTTTCAGGCTGCTGTCTATATGCTTTGGAGGGAACGAAATGGAAGGAAGCATGGAGACAATCCTCGTTCAGCAGATGTATTCTTTGGGTTAACCGACAGACAAGTGAAGAATAGAATAATGACTCTAAAGCAAGATAAACGAATGGTGAACGCTTACCAAAGCTGGATTGGGGCTGTCGGAACGTAGGACCGTTTCTTTTTGATATCACTCAAATTACCCTAAGTAATTAATTACTCTCATCAAAAGAGGTTCAATTGTAGTACTTAGGGATCGAATCCATAGAGAGCTAGGGAACCTAATAGATCTAATAGTTATGTGGTTAAGTTAGGCTAATAGGTAATAATGCAGTAAATAAATATAGTAAACTAGAAAACAATAAAAAGATGAACAAGGTGATTGTTCAGCTTGACAAGGATTTGTTTGATGGAAGGATGGTTGTTAGATCTAGGGTTTCTATTCAGGTAATCAAAATTATAATGCTATAGATGCCTAACAAGTTGCATGCATGATATTAAAGAGCTTCAACTCTTAGATATCTATAAGCTCTCGCAGTCTAGACTCGTCCATGAATCTGATGCCGACAATATCGATCGATGTTTTGACAGCAATATCGATCGATATATATTTGTCGTTGATCGATTACTCTATAGAAGTATCGATTGATATAGCTTCAGATCAAGTTGAAATAGTGCCCACCAAGATCATAGACTGGCTCTCGCTTATCCCTAGAGGATCTTAGCTTATACATGATGATATCATAATGATGATTAATAAATTAATGCCATCATGTTCATGGTTCTAGTTCATGACTCTGGAATCAAGCATTAGGATTCATAATGATAATGAATATCACAACTTAGCATCTATAGTTGGGGCTAATCCCACAACCTATCTGAATCCTAAATCCAACATGTGGATCCATTCAGACATGAAGATTATCACAGAAATCATAGATGAATAGATGAAGAACATAAATAATATAAAACCAAAACCAATGGAGTTCCAGGAGGACTCTGATAGGAGTTCCTCCCTTCTCTCCTAACGATAGAAAAGAACTTAGAAAAACTTAGATAGCGTGTAGCCGTCAACAATGGCTTAACATATCATAACTAGGGTTTCAAATCGTCAAGGGTATTTTGGTAACTTTGTTGTATCTTCTGGGCTTCAGTCGGTCATGAACCCTAAATTCAACAAGTGGATCTATTCAGACATGAAGATTGTCACAGAAATCATAGATGAATAGATGAACAACATAAATAGTATAAAACCAAAACCAATGGAGTTCCAGGAGGACTCTGATAGGAGTTCCTCCCTTCTCTCCTAACAATAGAAAAGAACTTAGAAAAACTTAGATAGCGTGTAGCCATCAACAATGACTTATAAATATCATAACTAGGGTTTCAAGTCGTCAAGGGTATTTTGGTAACTTTGTTGTATCTTCTGGGTTTCAGTCGGTCATGAAATATAGTCAGCCCACGTTCTGGAATTCATATCGATCGATATGAAGGCTTTACCACCGATCGATATACATTCCTCTTCTCGACTGCCTTCTCTCGCAAGGCAGATTGGCCACTCTTCAGTAAAACGGGGATAACTTCTGATGTAACCGTTGGATTGACCTCAAACCGATGGCATTGGAAAGCTAACTCAAAGCTCTATCTTGTGTCCAAATATCAGCTAAATCTCACAGTGGAAAGATCTCCATCAATATCTAAACATCTGACGCGTTTGCGCAGCTCTACACTCAAAAGACTCCAAAAGACTCCAAAAGACACCAAAATCACCATATTTCTCCTGAATCATGAAATACTCTAAATAGACTCTATATTGTAGTAAATATATATGAAAACACCTATAGACCATGACTAAAATGGGTAAAATCCATGATCAATCACTGTTTAAAAAAGTTTCATTATTAGAACACAAGTCATAAACAAAGTAACTCATGATGTAAACAAATTCTATTTTCTTTTGAATCAAATTTAAAATTTTATTAAAAAAAAAGAGAATGTAAAGTCGTCACAGATTTTTCCAGATTACTTTTGATGATGTCTCAAAATATATATATAAACTATTAAAGAGGAAAATATACCGGACAAGATGAAGTGCTTTCTTATTTTTTCAAACAGGAAAGAAACTTTTTTCCAACAAATAACAGGAATCCTAAATATAAAAAATATTTTTCTGATTCACAAAAATGAACACAACTTGCAACCTAAACACCAAATGGCATAAAGAAAGAACGTGTTTAATGAAAATGAGATCAGAGCCAAAGTTTAGACAAAATGAGTAGCGGACGACAAATACTGATATACATGCATGTGTTAGACTTTTTTTTTTTTTTTGACATCGACATGTGTTAGACATCTATCATAATTAGGTCCCACAAATATATTAGAAATGCAAGATCCTTCTAAAGAAAAATAAAATATAAGGTGATACAATACATTTATGTAAAAACTAATATTTTCATGTATATATTTAAATTTTACTTATTTTTGATGATCTCTGAACTCATGATGTGTGATTAAAACAAAATTAATATATTTATATATTTTACTTCAGAATTCTCAAAGAAATTCTAAGCTTATAAAACTCGCTTAAGAAACATATTAACAGTAAAACCATGTATTAAAATGACCATTTCAAAGAATATTTAAAAAACTAGTGCATAGCGTTGGACAACTCCTAACTAATAATTTTTTTGCTATAAATATTTACCAAATTAAAAAAGAAAAAACAAGTTAGTGCTAGGAAAAGAAAACAATAAATTTATAAAAATTATACAAAATTAGATTTTTCATTTAACAAAAACCAAAATATCACATTACACGCGTAGTACGGACCGATCCTAGTATATATATATATATATATATATATATATATATATAACATCTCTTTAACATGATTCACAAGCCTATGGGGATACTATGAAGAATGAGTGAGATATACCATTATGCAAACTAAACACACACGCCGCCGCCTAGCGTGTTTGGGTCTTGGTGAACTTTAGATAAATCCTAACAGGCTGCGTCTAAAATACCTCGATAGATCTAAATGATTTAGATTTTGTCAAGATAATTACAAAAAAAAATTCCCAATAATTATCGGAATATTTCTATTACCTGCTATTGCACCAAAAACTAGAATGCTTCCTTCCCATTATAAATAAGCATCTATTCTCTTCATTATTTTATACGCTTAAGTGCAATTAGAAACTTACAGCAAAAATCTTAGTCGTGTACTTAGTAAGAGTAGATTCTAAAATCGACACTCACTATTTTGTAGAGATTGAGAGTTCAATCAGGGGAAGATAAAGGATGTGGGCAACGATGCTCTTAAACAAAACGATATAATCGGACTTTGATTGACAAAAATGAACTTTTATTAAATATGAAATTCGTTTACAAAACGATGAACAAGATCGGAAATAACAACAAAAAGCACAAGAATGCGAATTAGAAATCTATAGAATGAGGTCGGTGTGATTAGTGAATAGC